GAGTACTTACAACAAGAAGAAGAAGGAGCAGTGGCAGTAGAAGTAGTCGTAGTAATTAGTCGTCGTCGTCGTAGTCGTCGTCGTCGTCGTAGTAGTAGTAGTAGTAGTAGTGGTGGTAGTAGTAGTGGCAGTAGTAGTGGTAGTGGTAGTAGTGGTGGTGGCGATAGTAGTAGTAGTAGTAGTAGTAGCAGCACAGAAGCAGCAGCAGCTTTGGTGGCAGTGGTATACAGTGGTACAGTAGATGTAGATTGAAGTGTCCATGATTTCTGCATCAACAAACTCGTGGGGGCAGTAGAATCTTCCCACGATTGGGGCAGTAAAGTTCAGACCGGGCCGGACTGGACGAATGTACACAGGTATACGTAGGACTTGCGGCGCTGTGATCTGGTGCTCAAACCTCAGAAACCCCACCTCGTGGCTACCAGACAATCGGTAATCCTGACTCCATAACCCAAAGCCAACGCCGTAAACCCTACTAAACCGCTCAGCGCAGGGTCTTCGGCCCAGTTTGCAGGGGTGCATAAGATTGACGATAGAACTTCTAAGAACATGGGACCTCACAAAGACGCTAAAATGAGCGGTCCCTCATTACATGACCAGGACACCCAAAAGAGGACCACTCATTGTAGAAGAACCCCACATGGCAGGCTTTGTACCCTTGGCTTCCGTGCGCATGATCCTGGATTCTTCTTATAACTCTGGGACTAATTAAACTAGTGGCCAGTAGCATGTCATTCACTCTGGAGTCGATGGTAAGTGGCGCTCGAAACGTTTTACATCTTCCGCAAAGTAGCATCAAGCACCGCAGGATCTTCAGAGTTGTCAGCCCAAAATTGGCGCTATCCCGAAACCCTCAGTGGACCCCGAACCCAGCCCAACCTATTGATGTGGAACACCAGCGTCGTGGTGTGTGGAGGCAGCCCTTCAGGCAGACGCGCAGCCATAGCTCCAACAAGAGTGATGACACCCTGAACTACCCTGAACCCCAAATCACCCTGAATTCACACTTGCCATAACTCCTATGAGCCCTAAACCAAACGAGGGATGATCTAGAGGATTTCAGACTTACGCACAGCTACAAGATTCTGGATTGCATGAAGTTTGAAACCAAGGAGCCCGTCGGGGAGCCCCGACACCCAGAAACCAGTAGGTGAGAAACCCTGCACGCTAACGACTTAGTCCTAGCTACAACGCCCCTCAGAGCATGAACTTCCCAGCGACGCTGGGAAGCTGGTTGTGGCGAGCGTTCACTTCACGAGCTCAGAATTCGAGGGGTAAAGAGATAGGCTGTAGGCTTTTCCTGCGCTCATTACAACGAACTACCGATAGCATCCGAGGTGTGGGTCTTCAAATCTGAAGCTTTTAAGGGCTGAGGGTCTTAACCTCGAGCCTAAGAATTAAATTCTGGGTTCACCAGTTTGAGATTTCGACTCTGCTGAGATGGTCGGAATCTGAGGTTTAGGGGTTCAAGAATAGAGCTTGGGGTTCAGTTAGAGAGCCGTGGTTTGTTAGTGTGAGCCTTTCACAAACAGGTGCTCCAGCAGGTGCTCCCCAAAGGAGATTTTTCAGTATACACCAGATATCAGATAAGGCGCCAATGGAGCGGTCAACTTTGCTCCTTTTGCAACATGCTTGTAGCATTGATCGCGACACTATATTGGTCTTATATTCACCCTGCGTCCTTCGAGTCTTTCTCAATATGGGAACCGTTTCAGGCCACCTTTCGCTCTCAAGTATCTAGCAGGAGGAGAGGAGCCTGAACGTCTCATGAGGTTGAGGCAAACAGAAGCGGTGGCATGCATCGTAAAAATCAGTCCGTTTTCGCAGGCTATCGCCGAAGAACTGCTAACTGCCTGAGCACAGCTGCTTCTGGCCGTGCCAGGAAGTGCACACGGAAGTGTGCGGCTAATTAGCTCTCACACACCTGTCTTTCTGCAGACAGTAGCCTTTTTTGCACGAGCACCGTTTGTGGATCCAACTACCATCCTTGTACTTGCACTCAGTCGGACCCATCTTTTTGCTGCAACTTTTCATAGTGCAGCTCACGTCCGTCTTGGTGATGCATTTCCCTGCCGGTTTCACAGGCGCAGGTGCTGGTGGTGTGTACTGCGGCTGGTGAGGGGCTGGCGCTGGGGGCATGTACTGCGATGGATGCGGCCCAGGCGAAGGGAGTGTGTACTGCGGCTGCTGAGGGGCTGGCGGTGCTGGTGCCGAGTTGGTGGCCACATTGCAAGGGCAGATTCGTCCATAGCCTTTGGGTACGGATCCCGCGCAAGTCGCAGCATTCTTGGGACTGTAGGCGCACAAACCGTGAGGATCCACGCCACACTTGGACTCCATGCAAATGGCCGGCACATTGTCAAAAGTGTGGCCGTAGGCACCGTTGTTTGCCCAAGTCGCTGCACAGCGAGTTCCTGCTGATTGGGCTGCCTTCATAATCCCGGCAGCATCAGGAGTCAAGCCGAAAGCACGAGCATCACAAGCCATACGCTGGCCCCGGAGCTGCCTCGTGGCACAAACCTGATCGCAGTTGTAGCCCGGGTTGCCATTAACCCAGTAGACCGAGAACTGGTCAGCAGCACTCTGGTCCACCTGTTCACAGACAGCTTACATGTTCCTAGCCTTGGTCTTGAGAGATTCTTGTACACATGTGCATCATGTGCATGTACAGATACAAATACAAACATACATACATATATTCATACATCCATCCATCCATCCATGCATGCATGCATGCATGCATGCATACATACACACATACATACAGGCGTACGAACATACATGCATACATGCATACATACATACATACATACATACATATACATACATATAAATACATATAAATACATATAAAAACATGCATACATACATACATACATACATACATACAGACATACATACATACGTACATACATGCCTGCAGACAGAGAGAGAGAGACAGACAGACAGACAGACAGACAGACAGACAGACAGACAGACAGACAGACAGACAAAAGGAGTTAGCACATAGTTGCATATTTAGACAATGACTACATAACTACATAACATAACTACGTACATACATACATACATACATACATACATACATACATGCATGAATGCATGCATGCATGCATGCATCTATACATCCATACATCCATGAATGCATACATGCGCACATGCATACAGTACGTGTACACATACACACATACAAATACACGTACACATAGACATACACAACACACACACACGCTGTTGACTCTCCTTGCTCACCTCAATCAACTGCTCATCAAAGCTCTGCGTGCCATGAACCTGCAGCGCGTTGAAAGCACAGGCTTCATCGCCGAAGCACTCGTTATCGGTGTCTAAAGCGGTGTTCATCTCCTCGGCGCTAGCAACGGCTAGGAGACCCAGCAGCACCAAAAATGCCATGGCAGCGAGAATGAGCTACCGTCAAATCGCTTTTTGCAGGTCTTGAGATAAGAAGCTGAAGTAAAACATCCGGGAGTGCCACGGCGAAAGCTGACCGGTATCCTGCCGGCTTCCTGCAGAAGGTTCTACAGCATCATCGAGCTGAACATCATCCCGATTACATACTTCAAGGCCTCCTAGAAACTGGGCAGGGCCCTGGACATGCGTGGCTGCGACACTGCATGTGCCGCGCTGAGTGTGTAGTGCGACTACCACAACCACTACCAAGCAACGGTCTCTCAATCTGGCTTCTGCTTGTGTGGCAAGGCCTTATTCCCAATCGGAATTGACTTTTCTTGCCGCTCGCGCATGCCACATTGCAGCAGGCCGGTTCTTGTTCGGAAGCATGCAGTCAGCCTTGGCTTCTCCGGGCAGTACCACGCCAACTTCAAGACATCACACAACAGAGAGGGTCAAGCACTCTCTTGATGCAAAACTCCGTCCAAAAGAACCCTAAATGAAAAGCAGTGTATGCACTCAATTCGATATGCAGTAGCAAGGCCTCCACATCCGTCAGCTCAAAAGAGGGTTGCACAAAGGCCGACGACAATCCCCGAGAGGCAACCGACACCTGCTGCTCTTTTGCGAGGTTCGGAAGGTTTGGGGCCCGAAGCCTACACCCCTACACGCTGCAGGGTTGGAGGGATCCGGAATTTGGCAACCTCGGTGCGCAAGGGCCTGCCCAATACATTATATCTAGATACTATATATATATATGCATATATACACACACGGATAGATAGTTATTTACTTTTTCTTGTGCATTTATGTATGTATGTACGTACGTATATATGTACGCATTCATATACATATATAGAGATGTACAGCTATCATCGACTATCAAGAGCACCAGTCGGGCCAAAATCCGAATGTTGGAACACCGAGCGCAATTGTCCTTGTTGGTACGCTTAGGAGCTATAGGTAAGGTTTAGCATCCGGGGCTTTGGACTTTGGAGTTCTGGACATCCGATCCTACGGCATCTGGTTCTTTCGGCAAGGTTGGTGCTAAATCTGACGCCGCAGAATCAACCCTTTCAACTTTGAATCTTCGATGATCAGCCAGCCTTTGGATCTCTTGGCTAAGGCAGTCCAGGATTGAAAGTTTTGCAGTCGCATGGGTGTCCATTCAAACACTTTGAGCTGAACTTTAGCCTTCAAGGAGAAAGAAAAGGATTCCGGAGCTTAGGGCATCTGGGCTTATATGTTAAGCTATCATTGTCAGGAGATCATAACATACACCGTAAACCCGTACCCTGTGCAGCTGAAGTAGGGTCCACTGTAGGGGGTCTGGGTTCAGGGCTTGGCATACACGGCTGAAGTAAGCTCCGCACATCCGGAGAAAAGACACCGAAACCGGAAAGCCAATAACAAACCATGCCATAGACATAAACTTAACCTTGAGAAGCCGACAGCATGCCCACACAGCATCAATACCTATCGGACAGCCAAACCACGCCATTTTGCAGGCCCCCAGCTCTAACGAACAAAGCAATCCATAAAGTTGCCAACGGGAACAGGAGATGTCAGTCAGAGCCTTCGGAGTCAGGCCTGAAAAACCCCAAACCCCAAAATGCCGGAGCCGAGAACCCAAAACCACTAGACCCTAAACCCCCAAACCCCCAAGCCCCGGAGCCCAAACAAGCAAATCCCGACAATCATGTGCTTGAACATCGGGGGCTTCCGTTGGCTTTGTGGTTGCAGCATACCGATGGCCGTTCACCAAATTCAGAACCCTAAAGCGAACCATCATAAACATCCCCGGAGTTCGAACTGTTGCGGAGACCACATAGTCTCAAATCTCCGTTCATTTCTGGTTTGGGTCTTCGGCTTTCGCTCTTTTGTGCTTAAAATTTAGGGTCTAGTAGACCCTACGGATTGGGCTTCAGGTCTGAGCTATCATGCTTTCCTCCGATTACCACATGAATGTCAAGGAACCCTAAACTACACTTCGAAGCCTAACCGCCAAGAGGCACCCGAACCGAGGACAAAGGCGGCGACGGGGTTGCTTTCATGCTGGGGCCTTTCCACAACCAAGGGGAGCAGAGCTCAGGGGTTGAGGGTTGCAGCAAGTTGAGCAAATACTTGAGGGTTTTGCGACAGCTACATTTGCAAACAGTCGAGGCACCTGTGCTACTGGGTAGTATATGGGTTCCTTGCAGCAGCTACCTTGCTGCTTGTTGCCGACCCCGGGCTGCAGTGCTGTCATCAGGATCCAGTGGCAACTGTTATACAATGTCAGAGTCAGCTGATGTTCCTGCTGCTTGTGCTACGACTCACTATGAGAATTACTATCCTGATGGTCACAGGACGATGAGTGCTGCCGACTCGCAAGATTTATTTTGCTTCGTACAAGCATCTTGACCCGGTTCATAATCATAATATCGCTGGTCGCCCAATCATGATACTTGGTTGATTCGTACACCCCCTAACCCCGAAAAAAACCCTATCCCCTACTGAATCAATCCGGTATCTAGCTAACTCCTGTTCAAAAGCCGCTGTCTTGAGGCCTTGCCTCTGGGGTTGGACGGAATAGGTAGTGCCTGCATGTTGCGACAGGGTTGGGTCTAGGGTCTGGGGTTCGCCATCTGAGGGTCTTCTAGGCAGCTTTGTTTAAGGTCCAAGTTGTGGCACCGAGGCTTCCCGTCCCAAACCCTGCAGCCTTCAAACTTGGAACACTTTACCTGGATAGTGCAAGCCTTTTGGGCCTTCGGATTCCGGGAGGATTTTACCTGCGAGAAAGGTGTGGGTCTAAGAATTCCAAGCTCCTCATGGACGCTCCCCAAAATTTTACAAGAATGTGCCAAGTTCCAAGAGTGACAGGAGGTTTAGGCATGCTTTCCACACAGCCAACAGCAGGGAACGCGGAAACTCCCAGCTCGGAAGGTGTCAACTCGAACTCCGGGAACCCTGAACCTTCTGCGGGCAACCCTGGATGCACAACAAAACCACGGCCCTTCACCACTCGAGTCTATCAGTTCTAAGCATAGGATTGTCAAGGATGCTTCCTGTAACCCTGAGCGCTCAAATTCAAATCTGAAGCCTGAAAGCCCGCAACCCTGAACAGCGTTCGACGAAACTGGGCTTGTACTGCCAAATTCCACGGAAGGAAAGCCCTATGGCCTGGATGCCCGAATTTCAATGCCGGGCATCCAACAAGGATCCCCGGCTTAAAGCTGAGGGCGTAAGGCTTTCGAACTGCATAGTTTAGATGTCTCGCAGCATCAGCGGTTCCAAAACCCTCGCAGGGAGCTGCAATCTTACAATCTTCACACGATTCCACACCCTGAACACCCAACATCATCTCGTCCGTCCATCCATCCATCCATCC